TAACACATACGTACTAGAAACAAAACCAACATTATATCGTTTGACGTAACACACATACGTACTAGAAGCAAAACCAACATTATATCGTTTGACGTAAACACATACGTACTAGAAGCAAAAGCAACATTATATCGTTTGACGTAACACACATACGTACTAGAAGCAAAACCAACATTATATCGTTTAACGTAACACACATACGTACTAGAACAAAACCAACATTATATCGTTTGACGTAACACACATACGTACTAGAAGCAAAACCAACATTATATCGTTAGACGTAAACACATACGTAACTAGTAGCAAAACCAACATTATATCGTTTGACGTAAACACATACGTACTAGCAAAAGCAACATTATATCGTTTAACGTAACACATACGTACTAGAAACAAAACCAACATTATATTTGACGGACGCATACATAACGTACTAGAGCAAAAACCGCATTTGGCATATCGTTTGACGTAACACACATACGTACTAGAAGCAAAACCAACATTATGTCGTTTGACAACACATATACTAGAAGCAAACAACATTATATCGTTTAACGTAACACACATACGTACTAGAAGCAAAACCAACATTATATCGTTTGACGTAACACACATACGTACTGAAGCGCAGCAACATTATATCGTTTAACGTAACAATACATACGTACTAGAAGCAAAAGCAACATTATATCGTTTAACGTACAATACACACATACGTACTGAAGCGCCATTATATCGTTTAACGTACACACATACGAAGCAAAACCAACATTATATCGTTTAACGTAACACACATACGTACTAGAAGCAAAACCAACATTATATCGTTTGACTTAACACACATACGTACTAGAAGCAAAACCAACATTATATCGTTTAACGTAACACACATACGTACTAGAAGCAAAACCAACATTATATCGTTAGACTCCACACACACGTACTAGAAGCAAAAGCAACATTATATCGTTTAACGTAACACACATTAGAAGCAAAACCAACATTATGTGTCATGTTTACGTAACACCACGTACTAGAAGCAAAAGCAACATTATATCGTTTAACGTAACACACATACGTACTAGAAGCAAAACAACATTATATCGTTTAACGTAACACACATACGTACTAGCAAAACCAACATTATATCGTTTGACGTAACACACATACGTACTAGAAGCAAAACCAACATTATGTCGTTTAACGTAACACATACGTACCTAGAAGCAAAACCAACATTATATCGTTAAGACTTAACACACATACGTACTAGAAGCAAAACCAACATTATATCGTTAGACTTAACACACATACGTACTAGAAGCAAAACCAACATTATGTCGTTTAACGTAACACACATACGTACTAGAAGCAAAACCAACATTATGTCGTTTAACGTAACACACATACGTACTAGAAGCAAAACCAACATTATGTCGTTTAACGTAACACACATACGTACTAGAAGCAAAACCAACATTATATCGTTTAACGCACACACATACGTACTAGAAGCAAAACCAACATTATATCGTTTGACTTAACACATACGTACTAGAAGCAAAACCAACATTATATCGTTTAACGTAACACATACGTACTAGAAGCAAAACCAACATTATATCGTTAGACTTACATACGTACTAGAAGCAAAACCAACATTATATCGTTTAACGTAACACACATACGTACTAGAAGCAAAACCAACATTATATCGTTTAACGTAACACACATACGTACTAGAAGCAAACCAACATTATATCGTTTGACTTAACACACATACGTACTAGAAGCAAAACCAACATTTTGTCGTTTAACGTAACACACATACGTACTAGAAGCAAAACAACATTATAGTTTAACGTAACACACATACGTACTAGAAGCAAAACCAACATTATATCGTTTAACGTAACACACATACGTACTAGAAGCAAAACCAACATTATATCGTTAGATCAACACACATACGTACTAGAAGCAAAACCAACATTATATCGTTAGATTTAACACATACGTACTAGAAGCAAAACCAACATTATATCGTTTAACGTAACACACATACGTACTAGAACAAAAGCAACATTATATCGTTTGACTTAACACACATACGTACTAGAAGCAAAACCAACATTATATCGTTTAACGTAACACACATACGTACTAGAAGCAAAACCAACATTATATCGTTTGACGTAACAGACATACGTACTAGAAGCAAAACCAACATTATATCGTTTAACGTAACACATACCTTAGAAGCAAAACCAACATTATATCGTTTGACTTAACACACATACGTACTAGAAGCAAAGCAACATTATAGTTTAACGTAACACATACGTACTAGAAGCAAAAGCAACATTATATCGTTTAACGTAACACACATACGTACTAGAAGCAAAACCAACATTATATCGTTTGACTTAACACATACGCCGCAACTAGAAGCAAAACCAACATTATGTCTAAGTTTAACGTAACACACATACGTACTAGAAACAAAACCAACATTATATCGTTTAACGTAACACATACGTACTAGAAACAAAACCAACATTATGTCGTTTAACGTAACACACATACGTACTAGAAGCAAAACCAACATTATATCGTTTAACGTAACACATACGTACTTAGCAAAACCAACATTATGTCGTTTAACGTAACACACATACGTACTAGAAGCAAAAGCAACATTATATCGTTTGACGTAACACACATACGTACTAGAAACAAAACCAACATTATATCGTTTAACGTAACACACATACGTACTTAGCTAAAGCAAAACAACATTATATCGTTTGACGTAACACACATACGTACTAGAAGCAAAACCAACATTATGTCGTTTAACGTAACACACATACGTACTAGCAAAACCAACATTATGTCGTTTAACGTAACACACACACGTAGTACTAGAAACAAAACCAACATTATGTCGTTTAACGTAACACACATACGTACTAGAAGCAAAACCAACATTATGTCGTTTAACGTAACACACATACGTACTAGAAGCAAAACCAACATTATATCGTTTAACGTAACACACATACGTACTAGAAGCAAAGCAACATTATATCGTTTGACGTAACACACATATTCTCTAGCAAAACCAACATTATGTCGTTTAACGTAACACAAATACGTACTAGAAGCAAAACCAACATTATATCGTTTAACGTAACACACATACGTACTAGAAGCAAAACCAACATTATGTCGTTTAACGTAACACACATACGTACTAGAAGCAAAACCAACATTATATCGTTTAACGTAACACACATACGTACTAGAAGCAAAACCAACATTATATCGTTTGACTTAACACACATACACTAGAAGCAAAACCAACATTATATCGTTTAACGTAACACACATACGTACTAGAAGCAAAACCAACATTATATCGTTAGACTTAACACACATACGTACTAGAAGCAAAAAACCAACATTATATCGTTAAACGTAACACACATACGTACTAGAAGCAAAACCAACATTATATCGTTTAACGTAACACACATACGTACTAGAAGCAAAACCAACATTATATCGTTAGACTTAACACACATACGTACTAGAAGCAAAACCAACATTATATCGTTTAACGTAACACACATACGTACTAGAAGCAAAACCAACATTATATCGTTTGACGTAACACACATACGTACTAGAAGCAAAACCAACATTATATCGTTAGACGTAACACACATACGTACTAGTAGCAAAACCAACATTATGTCGTTTGACGTAACACACATACGCACTAGAAGCAAAAGCAACATTATATCGTTTAACGTAACACACATACGTACTAGAAGGAAAAGCAACATTATATCGTTTGACGTAACAGACATACGTACTAGAAGCAAAACCAACATTATATCGTTTGACGTAACAGACATACGTACTAGAAGCAAAACCAACATTATATCGTTTGACGTAACACACTACGTACTAGAAGCAAAACCAACATTATATCGTTTGACTTAACACACATACGTACTAGAAGTCTCGCCATAATCGGTACAGGCTTTGGTAAGTTGACTGCAAAAAGATAAATGAAATTAGTTATTTTGTACGAAGAGCAAAGGAAAGTAGAAAACTTCAGTTTTTCAACATGAGATGGGGAACATTAGCAGCCATACAACCCTCACCTATCCATACACTACAACACCCTCACCCATCCCAACACTACCCCTTCCTCACCCATCAAAACCCCACTGCTCCTCTTCCGCCATCCAAACACATAATGATGTTACTCACCATGTTGGACAAAATTTATTGAAAATCGTTTAAATCACGTTCGCGTTTCTTTCCCGCTAAAATACACAAGTTTTGACAGACGGAAGTTATGGCGCACGTGTATTCGGCATGAACAAGAAACTCCAACAGGTACGGCCATAGAACCTACAAATACAAAAACATACAGTTGAAAATTTCAGAAACAGTGTGATGAATTTTACCTAAATGGCCAATCACAATCAAACAGCTCTCTAAACAGCCAATCAGAATGTGCAGCAATTATAATGAAATAGAGTCTAAACCGGAATCTACAGCTACAGCAACAATTATGATACAGCAATATTAATTTCATTCGCTCACAAAGTTCAATCGCTAGACTGAAGGTGGAATGACATTTGAAGTTACTAAATTCAAACTCTGAAACAGAGCAAGATTTATCTATCAATCTTTAATTGACAAAGCAGTAAAAGTTCCACGTATCAGAAAAACTGATGTGACCGACTTTTATTTCAATTCAACATTAATGGGGATATAAACCATTTCTAGCCGACAATTCAAAAAAATGTAAAACAGAAAACAAATTCCGAATAGATAACTTTAGGTCATCTTTAAATAACAAAATAGCTATGTATCAGAACAAGACGCATATAAAACTTTAAATTTTCGCCATTTTTTCAAAGCCATCCTCTGTATTAGTGAAAATGAGCACGCGCTTTTAATGTCTACTCAACCCTGTACGAAGTATCCTATTATCTATACATTTTCCAAGCCGGTGGAAAGTGACGTAGCCAAATCACAAGTTTGGTCGCGTTATGTAAAGATTTTAGCGTTCACTTAATGTAAAAACGATAGATTTCAAAGTAAATAAACAAAGTTCACGATAGTCTGATATTTATATAGCACGATCAAACTTGCGGTCTGGCTTTTTATGCCTCTTTAACTTGGACGGATAGCGCAGACATTAGCAATTGGACGATAATCAAATTCCTCTTCGCAAACATGTTTTATAGGTCCGTCAAAAAGACAAACAGGTGCTAAAATTGACGCAGGTAAACAACGTAGAAAAAACGCGTGGTCAATTGTAGCGGTGAAAAACAATTGAAACAAGACCATAATTTAAATACGACAACAACGAAACGAAAGATGTTTATAAATACTTTAAAATGGGGATAGGTTGTGAGCAACAAGGTAACAGTCGCGTGTCTGCCATCGTTTCGACAATAATGTGAACACTTTGAACATCGTTGAAATGCACCAGATATGTTCATCTGCCTCTATAAAAACACATTCAACACGAGAGCTACAACGTCTTGGTGGCAATGGGCGGTAATTCTGGCTTTCATTCTTTTTCTTTACACTTTGTTCGTGTCCGTATTTCTTCCAGTCTGCATTTACGACATGAAAGAAACTAGATTCTTTAAAATGTGCTGAAGATTCTTCTGAAACTCGTCACCGAACAACACAAACTATTGAAAGAAATTAAGAAACTCCAGGTAACGGTCGGCATACACGAGAGACTGGAAAGAGTAACGGAAAAAGATTGGTCGTTGGCGACCGTGGGCAACAAACGACATCAAAATGTCCTCATCACTTCCATACCAAACTCGGGCGAGTTGTTCTTCGGAGATTTCTTCAATCACCATCGTGACGTGTTTTACTTGTTTGAGCCATTTCATTCGCTTGAATATTTCAAAGAAAACAGACACCCAAAGGAGTACACGGCACTCTTAGTGAGTTTCCTGCAAGGAATACTTGCCTGCAACTTCGAACGTTTCAATTTTTACGCGAAATTTTTGTCGCTTCATTACAGAGCGCTAATTCACCGACTGGCAAGTCGTGAACTCTCCGATCCTCCACTTTGCCCACGAGTAGAAAAAGGCCACTACTACAACATAAGATATTGTACGAAGATTCAATCCCCAACACTGACCGCAATTTGTAAACTGCATAGTCATACAGTGGTCAAAACGACCCAAATGACGAATATTGAAACGTTAATACGAATGAACAGCAACATGCTGAGCGCCAAGCGCATCTTGGAGCTTGTGCGACCCACGCGCGATTTTGTACACGCGCTCGAAAACCATGGAAAACGCAAGCGATTATTGGTTTGCTGAAGAGGCGAAAAATTTGTCGGCAACAATGGAAGAACAGAGAGTTCGTGGAAAATACAAAAGCAATGGAGAAGCTATTTCTTTTACGTTAGTCAAATACGAGGATCTCGTTACCAGTCCTTTGAGGTGTCGACAATCTATGCCGTGATTTGGTTTGCCTCAAAGTAAGCATGCCAGATCATGGCTAAGAGATGCTATCACCAAAGGCTTCGAATGGCCTGCATCCGTGGAAGAGATGGAAACGGGGATATATTCGAAAACGAGGCAAAACCTCACGCATAGTTTGTCAGAATGGAGTACAGGTCTGAGTATGAAACAGGTCAGGACGATAGAAAAGAAATGTAGGTCAACAATGAAGAAATTAGGTTATGAAGAGCACCACAAAACTTAGTCTGATAGAATGATTAAAATTGGCGTAGATAGCATCGGCATTTGGGAAGGGAGAGGCAATTGTCACGTATGCATATTATAAACTGCAGAAAACAACTATTTTCAATTGAACTTATTAGTGCAAAGGTTCTAACAACTTCTGCCTTTTCGACTTATAATTTAAGCCAACCACGTTTGTACAATTTTAATTTATTTATAATAACAATATACTCTTACTGCATGTTTAATGTTTATACGTAAGTTGAATGGAACATAAACAAACGCATCCAAGGGCTTCTAATGACAATCAATTGAATTTTGAAATATATAAGCCTTTTGACAAAACAAAGTTTTTGCAATAATAACAATTGATCTTTTGTATAGTCAAGTATGGCCCGTTTCAACACTCTATGGATTTGCACTCTATCAATGAAATCTTGAAAATAGACTCGGCATATTGTACAAAGTGAACAAATAGAATTTAACTCGGTCAAGTAGATATGAAGCGGTGCTTGTTTAATGTCTATGTATGTCTTGAAAATTGGCTTTTTATCAAATTTGACTCATCCTAATGCCGAAAAAAATTTTTTGAAGGGGACTTTGCAGCATATCAATGAAATATTCAGGATAGATTTATCACAATGTAATGTAGAAGTTGAACTGAAAGAATTTAACCATCAATAAGATATGAAGCAGTGTTTCTTTAAATGTCTGCAATGAATGTCTTGAAACTGGCAATTCCTAATGCCAAAAACATGATATCATAACAGGGAGTCGACATGTAAGAATTTAACTGCGTCAAGTAAGTATGAATCGGTGCTTGCCAACATGTCAGAAACGAATTCATTGAAAATTTTTCTTTGTCAAATTTCGCAGTTACTCATGCCAAAACATGCCATGTTTTAAGAATTCGAACCATCAATGAAATAAGGGTACAGCTTCCACAACTCTAATAACTGTGAAACACACAAACTACAAAGCAAGTTAAATCGCATGCGGCAGGCAAAACATTTGAGGAAGTTTAAAAGAAAATAAATAGAGTTTGTGGCATCTCGAAACTTCAGTCGTGCTGTTTGAATTTCAGATCATTGCATTGTTTATTTCTTTGGAAATCCATTCTTTTACAGTGAGTGAACACCAAAGTAAATTCGTAAGACAAAATGGCTGCGGCACCGCTGTGACGAAATGGAAGTATGATCTCTTGATTTCGATAACTGCGCATGCGTCTGTTTGAAAACCCGCGTAGTGTCACTACAACGCTTCGATTTTGTCAAATTCACGGCGTCGTCAAGGTTGTTTGGTTTTCTGTGGATTTAAATATGGGCAAAGAAACTGTTTGCATCCCACAATAACAACAACTCTTTAGCGTTTATAAAGTTTACATCAAATGCAACAGCAAGTTGTTCCCTATATTTTCCAAAGCTAGTCATCGCTTTTCAAATACATATGGCGTTGGTGATTAATTTTCTTAATCAGTTCTGTTGTTACGACGTCGCCGTTCTTTTTAGCTTCGGCGACATCGTCGTGCTAAAGGTGCGTCGTGGGATCTTAAGCTCATTATTAGCACGTGACACACTACAGTTATGTACTTACGTTTTCCATTTGTTCAATGGTCGTCGTTACGAGCCGTAAAATGCTCTCACACATGGCCTGAATAGACTTGTTCGATACAGAATCACTTTCGGAAGACTTCTTTTGTTTCTAGATAAAAAAAAGTCGATAGAAGTAGACGAGAACCTCAAACATCGTAAAAATCGATATGTACGACGCGAAAAAGGAAGACATCCTAGTTGTCTTCCTTCGCATTTACTCACCTCCTCCTCAACATTGATGGCGCATTGTTTGACGATGAATTCAACGAGTCTTTGGCCTCCTTCCAGATTAAGATACCCATGATGCGCCATGGCTGCGATCAGTTGAGCAAGCATTTGTTTCACCTACGATACCAAGCACAAAAATCATCATAGGCATTGATACTTCTCATGGTTCTTCATCCGGTACCTCTCCCCTCCCCAACAATCCCAATGACGTACAAGCGCCCATTGTGACTTTTTTCATTGATACTTCCCATGGTTCCGCCTGTCCCCCAATCACAATGTCGTACAAGCGCCCATTGTAAGTTTCTTTCATTCATACTTCTCATGGTTCTGCATCCTGTCCTTTCTCCCCTACACACAAACACACACACAACACAAATGTACACATTTATGCACGAACGGCAATTGTGATGTTCCTTCATTTTCTATCACGTAACATTTGAGAAAACGCTATTCCAAGACCTTAGAAAATTCTTAAACAAACCTTTAAGCTCGTGTCATTGACGACAACCTGAACACCGGTAACCAAAATAGGTTTCTTGTTTTCAAGATAAGCCCCTGCAGAAACAAATTTCATGAAATATTTATACTGGTTTACTGAGATTAAGAGATGAACGAGCCCACAGCAAACACAGCAAAAGCAGACAAAGATACCTGAAAAGTTGACAAGTTGTTTTAACACAGATAAACTTCCCAATCGCCCCTTCTCGCCAGATTTGTCAAGTTTTAACAGCAGAAACGATATGATCTGAGAATACTTTGCCTGAAAACAAAAGGGGAAGTACGTTTAGGTAAGGCGAGATCAGTGCAAAATGGCAAGGCAATCAGCAGACAAACTCATTAAAAAGTTTTACATGTGGGGTAAAATAATCAATAACAATAAATTGAAACAGTTTATTCTTAGACGTGTTTACTTTTAAAATACATTAAAGAAGCCATATAGTAATGCTTTGTGCGCTTGTGTTTATTTCTGGCATTGAACTTTCGACATTTGATACAGAGTTTAGGGATTGTTTTCTGACTAACAAAATGTGTGATGGTCTTTATTTAAACTTCGCTCGCGTTATTTCTTCTACATCGCTTCGCTTAACGCTCTGTGGTTGATGGGCTGAGACTTGTTGTTGACAGAAGACATAATGTTGCACTGAATGAATGAATATTATGCCTTTATTTATGGATGCGCTGGCCTTGTCATCTATGATTGGATGAGCGCGCAAAGCATCACGATAAAACGCATTGTTCAAAAATCAATTACAAAATTTGCAAGAAATAACATTGCTTAAAGTCATTTTGAATTTAAAATCAAACTGAGCTGGTATATTTTGACAGAACTTTATGCCGTCATTTATGAATTCGATAAACCAAATTCTCTATGGATGTCTACTTTAAAATTCAAAATTAAATGTTGATATATTTGCATTACGTTTCAGACGTATTGATATTATATTATGAATTATATTTTGAAATTTATATTATATATTACATTTGTTATTTTATTTCATATATTATATATTATATATATTATATGTATTATATATTATTTATTTCTATACTTATACTGTATCATACATAATAATTGACAAAAGTATTCATATATAACAGAGCCCATGGGATTATTTATTCAACCAGCCATAGCTTATGTTAGAGATTTACTGTTGAAAGGCAACTGCATTACAATGTGAATTATATTTTAAACAACGAAAGATTGAAAATTATTTGATTAGGTCAGGTCAAAGTACCAGAGCATTTCTAAAAATTACATATATAAAGGTATTATACATTAATTATTTTGATAAAAGTCAGGTCAAATCAGCATTTCTAAAAAGTATTCATAATATAACAGAGAAAACCTTGATTATTCATTCAAAGTACCAGAGCATTCTAAAACATTGCTTATGTTATTGAGCAATTGCACGATGAAATGTGTTAATTCAAGCACTTATAAAAAACATTCCCCAAGATAAAGGTATTGAAAAATTGTGATAAAAGGTCAGGTCAAAGAACCAGAGCATTTCTAAAAAATTTCTTGCAAGTATATAGGTATTGAGAAAATTGTTTTGATGAAAAGTCAGGTCAAAGTACCAGAGCATTTAAAAAACATTTCTTGCAAGTATAAAGGTATTGAGAAAATTGTTTTGATGAAAGGTCAGGTCAAAGTACCAGAGCATTTCAAAAACATTTGGTATAAAGGTATAAAGTCTTACACAGTGTATCGAAGCATCGAAGAACTTCTTCGAATTCTTCACAGTTTCCGGTTATTAAAGTCCGGCATGACGCAAGCCTGAAAAACAAACCAAAGTACTTTAATGAGCAACAAGGTACACAATGGGATGCAAGGTATGCAATCATGTGACGTTTTACCACACCGAGTGATTTTGAATGGAAGCAACTAAATGGTTTCGGTCTGTATAGTTTTTCAGGTAAAGCAAATATCTAACTAGACAAGCATCGAATACCTTGTCAAAAGCATCGTTCAACAAATGATCTAAATGCATAGTCAGCATGTTCGCCATCGGCCACTGCTGCTTCAAGAACTCGACATAAGCTCTGGATGAAATATTATTATTACAAAATAACTGCTAAATAGTCGCCGCAGCTCCAAGAACCAATCAAAACTACCATTACACTACTAATGAGAACAACACATAACTCAACCTACTATTGTTATCGTAGTGCTTTCCGGCTGGATGTTTCTTGTATAAGCTGTTAATCCCACTAAACAATCGAGGTAGCTGTTCAGAGAGCTTCTCTCGCGGTAACAGGTGAGACATGTAACCAATTGTTCGATTATTGCAAGTCGTACCTGAAAAATGGGAAAGATACAGACCAGGTAATCAAAACTACGGTTAGTCTACGTGGGCAATCAATCAGAGGTCATTTACAGAGTGATTTGAACACTTTCGTTCAGCTACAGTATCTTTTATTTTGAGCACACCGTAAATCTATACAACCTTTGGCTCGTTACTTTTTATCCAAACATTAAACAAGATTTCATAAGGATTGCATCTCGCCTTCGAATGTATTCTGTTTTATGTCGTTGTGATCGGTGCTCAATGTTTGCCAAATAATAAGTAATGCTTTCCGAGAATCGAGAAAAACCTTCAGGAAAAGAAGAAAGCAATTGGACCTAACCTTTGTAAATATTGTAACTATAAATATTGAATTGAGGGAAAGTGTGCGCAAGTAAGTGAGGGGAGAAAAGGAGAAGGAAGGGGGAGAAAAAGGGAGGATAGGGAAGGGAGAGAAAAAGAGAGGAGGAGGAAGGGGGAAAAGGAGAAGAATGAAGGGGAGTGGAGGAAGGAAGGAAGGGGGATGAAAAGAGAGGAAAGGAGGGAATGGAAGGAGGTGGAGGAAGGAGGAAGGAAGAAAAGAGGGAGGAAAGAGGGACTGGAGTGGAAAGGAAATGGAAGGAAGGAATGAAGGAAGAAATGGAATGGAATGGAGAAAGATCTTAAAGGAAAAGAGGAATGGAAAAATAGAAATAAAATTTCTTCGAAAACCTAGACAATAAGTGTTTTTGGCAGACTAATAACAGATTCTTCATTGTCTGCATAAATTAACAACAGAATTTTAAACGCAAGAAGAAATAACACTATAATCGCCTAAAACTGCCTTTGGTCGAGCGTGCAGCTATAATAGGCCCTGGACCAATGTGCTCAGAAAACAACTTTGGTTGCGCATGTTTGGAAATTAATAATTTCTTTTATGTGGTCAAAGGCAGTTTCGCGCACGCAATTAATAACGTGAAAATGTCATTTTTTCCGTTATTTTTTTGAGAAATCTCGTTTCTTTAGTTATCACTTCGGCACTTTGTACGTTTGCAAGAGCAGCTGTCGCGTTTGAAATCACTCGTCAAGAGACATTTATACGTAAGCTACTTATCAGTGAACAAACCGTCAGCCTGGGCGAAGTTCGCCAGCGTCAAAATGACAAAATAGTGCGGAGGAGTCCCGGGTACGAGGTTCTCGAGAAGCTCACTCATTACTTCATGTTTGAACGTTTTTCCAACCGACACGATGACGAGTGACGCGGCCGTTTGCCACTTAGGATGAATTTCCTAAAAGTGAAAATTTGATGCATCGTTAAGACATAGACAGTCGTGAGAGACAATGGAAATACTATTTTCGTCTGTCATTGTGCGAGTTATGTTTGGATAGAAAATATGCGCATGCCTAAAAATTACTTAATTCCATTCCACAGTGAAATGAGGTCACCTTTTTTATGAGGTCATGTGACCGCGTCTCGAAAAAATTCATGATATACAATATGCAAAGAGATTATATAATTTATTCATAATTATTATTATTAGTATTATAATTATTATATTATAATAACTATTAGTATTATAATAATTATTAGTATTATTTATAATCTCCATGATCATTAAACGGACGCGGTTTACCTTTTCTAAGATCCCAAACTTTTTTTACTATTTTAAAGATGTTTTTAATGATCGGTCAAAAATTCATAACTTGTTTTGGGCAGTTTATGCTTTGACATTTCCCACAAGACCTGAACATAGTAAATCCTCTAGACAGACATCTTACTATAAGTTTGACTATAATTGATTGGGAGAGTTTATGTGAATCCATTGAACTAGATATATAACTGAACTTAGAAAATCCCTAGGATGAATGCTTAATATAAGTTTAACTGTACACAGTATATGATTTGGTGAATTTATGTGAATAACCATTGAACTAAATATGCAGCTGCAGGGCTACTAGGCTACCTTTGACTTTGTCATTTCCTGGAATGCAAGTTTCAAAAGTTCCTTTTGCAAGATCAGCATCGAGTTCTTCCCTTTTATCATGGAGGATTTTCTCCATTGACTCAAGCAGCACAACACGATGCTCCTTGGTCATCTAGGTAAGATAAAATTAAGATGATAAATCCATAATAATGCAATAAAAACTAGGTACATTATAATTATCATAAGATATATAATTGAAAAGAACATAAACAAGTTGATATTATATCATTGAAGTTTTCACATTGCAAAAGACAACTTGATGAAAATCAAACCATCACATGATTTCGCACATAAATGGCAATGTAAGTCAATTCAGTTGCCATTTTGTGAATCATGTAAAGATATGGGAAGAATAAAGATGAGCTTGAAAATTTGACAGATTGCTACCTTATGATGCTTCAAAATGTAGTCCTTACAAATGCCCAAGACAAGTTCTGGTTTCTCAAGTCCAATGGCAAGCAAAGACACCTTCACCATTTCCACAACAGAAGCATCTTTGTCATTGGCTGCATCAACCAAGGCCATCACCATATCTAGTTGAGAATTAAATTTATAATTCTTATGAAAGGAGCAAATAAGAACACTAAAGATAAGAATTTCAAAAGCATTTAAAAAACGACTGTATTTTTTATTCAGTGTAAAGAGATTGTTGAATTTGGAAGTTTACGTCAAACCAGATTGGTGTGTATGTCTTTATATCTTATAGATTCCTCTACAGCTTCCACACAATTAGCACAAATTACGTATGCCCCACTAGTGGCATAGCCAGCTTGTGACTAAGTTATGATTTTGCTATGATAATTTCAAAGCTTGCATTATATCAGCGTCTCAATGTTTTTTCTTTTCTTCACAGCAAGCAAGTAAATATACATTTACATAGCAGGATTAAATATTGAGGCTGGCTTAGCCACTCAGCAGATTCAAAACTACACAATACACTTTAATATACTGGGAATAATTGGGAATTAAGCTACTTTAGGAGGTGATATAAATTGAAAAGCTGAGCAAGACGAAACAATTGTGGGCTTATGTACCATAAAGGGCAAATGAAAACAAATTTTCCCACAGCTCTCTTAAACTGTGAACTTAGATAAACCTAAAAATGAAACCATGCTTGTCTGCCATACTTCGTGCATTGATAATGCTGGATATCTTTGTGAGATAATTACACAAACTAATTTTAATTTGGCAATGTGCTTTTTCGTAAATTAAATTGTCCCGTCTCCAATATGACTATGTAACGTATAGTTAACTTGAACAGACTCAAAACAAAGATTCAAAATTGCTACAGAAAACCGTAATGTCCGCATTAATTGACACATTCACGTAGTTCCAGCTTTTGAATGAAATCTGTTAAACACTAAAAAGAATGAACATGAAGTTTCTGAAAAACAAACCTTCGACTTGTGAGCCCGTCCTGTTGTGGTCGACCATCTTGGATCAAGCTTTGAATGTCAGCACTATTCTCTATTCCGTTTTCTCGGTACAGTACTATATTTCATGCGATATTTGTCGTTTACGAGGCCAATTCTTACT